ATATGTCAATTTCTTGACGGCAAACTTGTCAATTGGAAATATAAAAAGCAAACCTATGTTTCATTATCGACTGCTGGAACTGAGTACATAGCAGTCACCTCATGCACCTCATAGGTCATTTGGATTGAAAGTCAGCTAAGGGACTACATAATAAACATGAGACGAATCCCCTTACAATCTGACTCCAAAAGTGCAATTTTCATTTCCCACAACCCAGTGCAGCACTCCAAGAATAAACATATTGCACTGAGGTATCATTTCATTAAGGATCACGTGGTGGAGGGCAATGTTGAAATTCACTTTGTGCGATCTGCTGATCAACTGGCTGACATCTTCATGAAGGCCTTATCTGAGCAAACCTTCAATAGAATACTTCAAGGCTTAGGAATGATTGAAGTTGATTCTGTTCCGAAACTACCTTTGTAGTTGGTAAGAATTCGTTGCGAATGGGTCTGAAAGATCGGAGTAGTTCGGATTTAACTCTCGCTGCAAATTTGTTCGAACGCTCGGAGTGATTCGGAGTCCACTGTTCATTTGGAGTCTCAAAACTTTCTGTATCCTTTATATATTTTGTACACTTGTGTTCTCATTTTTATTTTCTGTTTTTATTCTTTTCCAGAAAATCCAAAACTAAAAAAAAATTACTTTATTTCTGTTTTTTAGAAAATTTCAAAAATTACAAAAATATGCTCTTAAGTTTTTGATTTTTTTTTTATAAAAACATCAACAATACAAACATATACTAGATAATTGAGTAGGATTAAAGGAACAAATCATGACACTCTCAATTACGAATGACGGGGAAGGTATTTAATTATCAATATTTGCACTAGTTAAGTGTCCCTAGAAGCATGTTATTGCATGTTGTCCGAAGCCTCTGAGACTCTATGTTTGAAGCCTTAATGAATCAATATTAGCAATCGTTTCTTCCCAATCAGGTTAATATTCAGATAAGTCATTGAGCTACCTTACTCTTCTCATTTTGAGTTAATAGTTGACTGATTGGGCATCCACAATATAGCAGGGGTACATTTATTTCTTTGGAACCACCTTTAACACTTCTCCATATCTTATTCTCTTTCACATTTGTAACCCTTGAGACTCTTAGAATTTATCACTGTAGTTTATGGTTACACAACTTATGTGTTCATGATCTTAAATTCATTATCACTACGAATTCAGTGAAACCCAATATATCCTTTTCCCAATGTTTTATGAGGCTTGATTTATAATTCAATTTCAATCTAAAATAGATAAAAGATGAAATTTTTTATTATCTATTTCTTTGATTTCAGAAATAAGAAAGAAAATAAGAAAAAAAATAACATGCTCTTTTTTTTTTTTTCTGTTAATGGACAAATTAAGAATTACTAGATAATAGTAGACGAGCAGATGTAGCCAAGTGAATCAAGGCAATGGATTGTGAATCCACCATGCGTCGGTTCAATTCCCGACGTTCGCCAAAATTTTATTTATTTTTTTAATAAATTATTCGCTATAAATGAATTTTTTTAGTGAACGTATCATAGCTTCCTCATATTTTTTCGTTTTGTAAAGACGAAGAAAGAAATTCTATTCTCTCTACTATTTACTACGGTGACGAAGAATCAAATTATCACTATATTTATTCATTTTTCTATTTCTTTTTCTAAGTACAGGATAACCCCAAGGGGTTGTGGGTTGTTTTATACCCATTAGGGCCCTACCTTCACCACCCCCATGTGGATGGTCTAGAGGTTCATAAATACTCCTCTTACTATAGGGCACTTACCTAGCCAACGCTTAGATTTGGATCTACCCAAACGTTTTTGGTTCACTCCAACATTCCCCACTTTTCTGACTGTTGCTGAGCCGTTTTTGGATATCAAACGGACCTTCTAATATGGTGAACAATTAATATTTTCTAGTTTTTCACCAAGGAATTGATGTGAATCCACGTTCGTGCCTTTTGACTTGAAATCCCATTATTTTATTTTTGCAAGATGTTAATGAACTGCTCTCGACCTAAAACATTTCTTCCCATAAGATCCAGTTTTTATTTTTCTTGAGATTTCTCTATTATCTAGCTACTCAGATTAATCCAAAGCATACTTGTTCTTATGGCTAAACTACCCAGACAAGTACTTCTTCCAAACGTTCAGACTTATGTTATGTTTTGGAATATGGTTGAAGATGAAGCCACCCTTTAAACCTAATGAAAAGAAGCCTTTCATTGTTTCGCAAGAAACAGATTATCGTAATTCAACGAGACACTACACACGCACTTCTGATTCTCTCTTGACTCTGAAGGAAGGGATTGTTGCCTAGGATCCAACAATTTCATGTCTTTATTGATATCTCTAGAATCTCTAAATTAAATCGCTTTATTTCTTTATCTTTGGCACACTCTTGCACGAAGATCCTTGTGATTTTCAAAAGTATGGTTCATAGTTCTAATGGTTACTTTCAGATTCGGAGAACAGGAAATGGAGATCTATTACGAATGGGAAAAAGAGAAAAGGCAGTCTTTATGGGATAAGAATCAATTTGGGTCCATGTTTTCAAAAAGTCCAGACATCACACCTTGTCTGGTATGTCGCCTGACATCACGCCTGTCACACATGCTTTTTCAGGGATCATGAACAGTCACCAGTTGGCTTTCTCTCTCCTACACTAACATATAAAAGGAAAATCATAGATCTAATTCTGTTACCACTTTAAAAGATTACAAAGCTTATAGGAGCAAGAAAAACCAATTTTTCTCTTATGAATGTTCATCATCTTCTTCGCCGATTACAATGGCAACTTCATCAGACAGTCCTTTTGCTGCTGGCCACACGGCATCTTTAGGGTTGCTGGATATCAAAGCTAACCACAATCTCATCATGGATCTTGATGTAACCAGGTCTGATGCCTTTCTACAACTGTTGATCGAGTGCCTCGGGCATTCAATCATGGCTAATGTGCTTTAAAAAACAGAACATGTTCCTTTGTCTCTACTGTCCAAGGTTTACTCCAATGGACGTTATGAAGAGAGTGATTCTACTATCTATTTTGAGCTTGATAATAAGCAAACTTCCATCACCAAATCACAATTCAATCGTTTATTCGGACTTACCTCAACTAGGGATTTGATCGAACCAAAATCCATCTACAGTTCAACCATCCTTGCAATGTTTTACCAAATGGGTTACAGGGAGTATTTAGATGTTCTATCAAAGTTCAAAAAGCCCAATTTGCCTCCTTTGTGGAATGGGTTATTTACCATAATTTTCAAGTGCTTTTTAGAGAGTACCACTGGCTTAGACATCGCCAATAAGCTCTTTCTTACTATCCTCTATGGTGTTTATTCCGGAACCAATTTACATTATGGCTCAGTCCTTTGGGCTCAATTGGTGCAAAGTACTCTTTTTGTCACTTGTCACTCGAAGATTTCCTATGCCCGATTTTGGGAAATTATCGTTAAAAGAGCTATCGATCACCACAATATTCCAGTGGTAGAGGGTTCGGTGATTGCAGTGATTCCAATATTTCATACTTCAAATCTCATATTCTCTAATAGCTCAAGTTTCACATTTATTAGATCTATTCTAGAGGATATGCTTTGCAACGTTCTAGCTGACAGTGAAGTTATCATTGCCTATCATAATCAGCTGGCATTTGGTCCTCACCCCTTGACTATTGAAGTGCAAAAGGTTTTGGAAGAGGCAGACAAACCCAATAAATAAGGAAAATGAAAAGCCAAGGCTGGTCTCTTCGAGCCCACTCAAATGTCGAAGACGAAAAAGCGAGCAACTCATAAGCCACAGAACCCTTGCCTTAGTGATGAGTAGGAATCAGAGTCACACACCATCTCTGATCTTTGTATTGCGGAGCAAGTCTAACGAGATACTGATGATACCGCTGCGACTTCGCATCTAATAGTTTCAGAGCCACCAACCATGAATCGTGAGGTAACCTTTTCTATGCCAACTTTTGTTCCCAGAACAGTTGACTTTCCAAGAAAATACACCACTTTCTCCTCCTGCTTCTACAACTCCAATCACTATTTCTCCATGCCCGAACATGTCTGTGGGTGTTTCACATGTTCAAACTTTGATTTTGTTATCTATTCCTTTTTTCCCAGACACAACAACAACTACAACAACAACCACAAGTTCGCCGCCAGTCAATGCCAACATATCTGATATATGGGCAAGGGCTTCTGGTTTTTTCTGTTGGTACTAAGTTCACTCCCATTTCACCATTTCATCAAGATGATCTAGATATAGTATTTTATTAGGATCGGGATGCATTTCAAGAATTACACTATAGTACTTTCAGTGTCCAACAAGAAAGTGATGAAGATGATGCTTCGTTGATAGCAAAGTAGTTCAAGGCTCTAAATTCCAAGTTGGATTCTTTACTTGAGTCCACCAAAGCATCTTCCATCAATGAATACTCCAAAGATTCTGTGAAATATGTTGTTGAAACACTTACGAAGGAGCATGCGGAAAATCTCACTCTCACCAACAACGTTGTTGCTAATTCCGAAAACACATGTAAGGAATCGACCAAAAAAGTCAATAAACTACTTTCTGATATTAAACGATTTATGGTTAATTTCCGCACTTCATCATAAAGATATATTGCATCAATGAACACAGTTGTAAATAGTCTTGTGTCAACTCTCCAATCTAAAAAGGTGGCTCTTATGAAGGTTCGTACTGAGCTTCAAACTGACCATTCGGAGTTCCAAACTTCCATCTCCTCAAAAATTGAAAAACCTTCAGGAAGATTTTGCTCTTAAAAATAATATAATGGATGAGCTTGCAATTAAAACTAAGAAGGTGTAGGTTCTCTCAATAAAGTTATCTTCAACAAATAAGCAGATCGACGAACTCAAATTCGAGAAAGCTGTCAACAAAAGTGGTGTTGTTGATGTGAACCCTAATTTGCACAGTTTAATTGAGTCTCGTGACTCTCTCCCCATAGTCTCTGTTCTTCATCATTTGGAAAATTAATTGCATCCTATCTTTTCCATGCTTGACATAATTCAAGGTGTTTTGGAATCTTCTATTCCAAACCAAGGGGGAGAACTGACAAAGACTTTTGGTTCTGGTAAAGGAGCTGAAGGTGAACATGAACAAAAACACCAAGTCTAATCCGAAGGGTAATGAAGCTTCAGTATCAAAAGGGGAATAGAAGATTGTTGATGATGATGATGAGGAAGAAGAAGATGAAACTGACAAGTTAAAGTGTAAAGCTCGCGATACTGAACAAGATGAAAACTTGCGAGTCGCTAATGAGGTTGAGGAAAAAGAGAAGACAGCTCGTGAAGCTAAGGATACATTGAAAACTCAAAAGACACTTTTTCCTTTATGGACATTAGAGCAAATTCTAAATGAGGCCATCGATTACCCGAATGCTTATTCGTTAGAGCCTGTTGCGTAATTTGAATTAGAGAACTCTCCAGATTCGCAACTTGATCTGCAAATCACTCTAAAGGCCATTTAGTTTCGCAGTTTTGACAAGATTGTGAATGCTCCTATTCCAAATTATGATGTTGATCAGGCACTCTTTTCGTTTAATCTAAAGCATATTAAGCCTCAATACGAAACATGGAGCTCAAAAAAGATCACAGTGGTCAAGGTGTTCGAACCAATTGAAACTGAGAGCTTTCTCAACGCTCGTTTCAAGGTTGCTCATGGTACTGCGAGTTCAACGTTAGAATTTAATCTCACAGATATGACCTACCTCAATCCATTAATTTAGATTTATTTGTTGCTCCTACTCCTGAAGGATCATAGAATTTCGAGCCCATTATTGCATATCTTAAACGAATGTTGGTCTGTTACATTCAAGAGGTTGGAAAGATGGACGTGGAGATTGTAGTTGTACAGACAAACATATATACTCCTCCTACTGTCTAGAATATATTGTGGATTTTGAGTCAAAACAAAGTGAACAGTGTTGTGGACAAGAAATGCTTTTCCTACATGATCAATTAGTCTGTCCTGGTTCGCACGTCTTTGCTGGGCATAATGCCAAAGCTGTTTAAATTTCAAAAGCATCAACAACAATGAAGAATTTTCCTTCCTTGATGACACAAAGGGGGAGATTGTTGGGTTTATTTAGTTCTGTGTCAATATTGTTTTGTAATGTTTTAGTCCATCTTTGTAATGGGTTGGGCCTGTGCACCCGATTTTTAACGTGTTAGGGTTAGAATATTTATTGTGCATGCATGCACCTTGATTAGTATCGATTGTACTTATCCTAAACTGCCTTTACAGTAGAAGTTCTTTATCGAGCTCCTCTAAGGCAGTGATTTTAATAATTCAACATATTTTCGATCATTGCGTTCTTGGCTTCGATTCATTTACCTGTTTAGATTCTATTGATCTACTATTTTAATTCTAACATCCTCGCATACATACTATACTCTCAATGTACTAGGGCGCACCCTAGTATGCTCAACGAACACATATGTATGCTTGTTGTACTCCTCCTACCCAAATTATGAAATTGCCACTAGGACCAATTTGACATGAAATAGAATTATAAGGATGAATTTAGAAATACCTGAACCTTGGGATGTTACAAAAGTCAGCAATTCAAAAGGTCAAGGAATGTCAAGCTGACTTAGTACACCCTGTGTATTCAGTGACAACGTCGGGCATAGTTGCAACACAACCAAATCACGGGACTCTAACCTAGTACACACAAAACACGTCTTGGTACACTCAAGATACGCCTTCTGAACCCAATCCTTATTATGAAGTGCTTATTCCTTAAGGAATTTTCATACAAACTCAGATCTAGACCCAAAACATCTATCTAACTCATAAATTTTCCACCTTTATGACTTTCCATGGGTAGAAAAGGTCTAAAAGCTAAAACCCAAACTTATTAATCCATTAAGACATCATAACACTTGCATGGAAGGAATAGAGGGACCAAGATTACATTTTTACGGTTCATAACACCTGTAAACATCAAAAGGATAACTTTTATGGTTAGAATAATCCATACTCTTTAACACCAAGATAAAGAGACTAAAATAAATACAAACTCAATGTAAACAAGATCTAAGAAAATAACTCATGAAGTTTCAAAATTTATACCTCGAAAGGATACTTGAATGTGAAACAATTTTGGATCTAAGATGCCTTGAGCTTCCAAGATGATTTTCTCTCCATCTTTTTCCTTCAGGAACACAAAAATGCACTCTCAAACATAAAGAGGCTCACACAAATGATTAAGGTTTGCTAGAGAAGAATTTGGAGGTGGAGGCTGATGAGGGAGTAGGTCTTAAGAAATTAATGATGCTTAAATAGTGCTCAAACCCTAAAAATTAGGGTTTGCTCATTTCCATGTATGTCCAACATACTCGTGAGTACACCCAACATAGTCAAATAAAGTCGGGTTTTCCCTTATGTGACAAAAGGACCAATTTTCCAAAAAACTTCATATTTAAGGATAGAAATGGAAAATACCTGGATCTAGGTGTTACAATCTAAGTACTATTTGGTTGAGGATTCGACCCTTGGAAGTTCCATTGAGGTATGGGTTATGCACCTCGTTCAAGAGATCCTTGTGTTGAAAGGGAGTGGGCTTGGAAATATACATGGGGTTTGGAGGGTGTTTTAAGAGTAATTTGTAAGGGAAGATTTCGAGGATGAAATCTAATTTAAATGGGGAAGAGTTTTAAAACCTTTCCCTAATAGATTATTTATAAATTTAATGGAGTCAAAGGCATGGTTTTTAAGGAAAACTATATGCCACGACGTGGTACATGGAATGCCAAGACACGACATGGCTTCTAAGGATCGCACATTTTAATGATCGCCATGTCATGTCAAGAGGTTGTGCTTCTTAGGTTCTTTAGTTCAAGTGAGTTCCTTACTATGCCATGTATCCCATTGTATATCCTTTTCATGGTAGGATAGAGGTACTATTAGAGTACAAGTATGCTAGTTGAGTAGGATAAGTCATTATACGTATGTAGTTTAGGACACTTGGTGTCTTGGTATGCTAGACTAGTAGGGTCGTGTCTGTTAAGTGTATGATAATATTAGGAGTTATGTTTGGTTAGGGAAATTGGGATAGGCCCATTATCAGGATTATGTGTGACTAAACAATGAAAGACTTAAATGAGAAGTGGTCAATGGCAAGGTAATTAGGGAAGACTTGTTGCTAAGGGTATGTATATTATAGTATTTGTTATGTGTTTACATTACAAGATTATATGGTAATGATAGCTTAGGTTTTCTGTACGTTACATGATTATATGGTAATGATAGCTTAGATTTTCTGTAGTCTAAGTTGGATAGCCTGAGAACTCTTGGTCTAATGCCTCATTGTGATGTTTTTGTTTGATTGTTTAGTCTTTGTTGGGTCATTTGTTTAATTATCTATATGATCCCTAACTACATATGACTTTATGTAATTTACGAAAGTGTAGGATCTAGCCTGTGGAAAATATATGAAAGTCTAGGATCTGACCCCTAGGAATGAAAGTGGGTCAAAACCCAGACCGGGTGGACCTGGACCTAGAAAACCCTGAACCGATATATAGGAACTGGTTCTAGTTCGGTTCCGGGTACGATATATGGTAAAGTGGGTCTAGAACTGAAAATCTTGGAAACATAAAATTAGGTAGGTTGGAACCAGATAAAGGGGGTGGGAACCGAAAAACCCGAAAAAAAAAACGGTTTTTTTTGGTAATTACTTACTACTTAGTGGGTTGAACTTTCAAAATTTTCATATTGGTATCTCGACTTCGGGGGACTGTAATTCGTTGAATATGTAACCAAAATTGAAAAAATTATAGTCTAAAATCATGTACAAAATCTAGACAACACTCTGGAAAAAACCGCATGTCAGTCTGACTTTAAACGAATTAGATATGCATGTGTTAACTTTTTCACAGAATTTAAAGTACAAAAACAAATAGCTGAAAAGTTGAAAATTTTCTGTTTTGATATCCTGACTTTAGGGACTGTAAGTCATTAAATATTAGACCAAAAATGACAAAATTATAATCTAAAATCATGAACAAACTCTAAAATACAAGTTGGAAAAAACCGCATGTCAATAAACAAATGAGATATATATGTTTTAAAACTTTCACATAATACAAAAAGCTAAAAAACTAAAAACTTACACCTTTGATATCTCAAATTTGGGAGTATGTAAGTCAATGAATATAAAATTAAAAATGACAAATTTATCATCTAAAATCACGTACAAAGTCTAAACTACATGCTGGAAAAAACCATATATCAATTTGACTTGAAATGAATGAGATATGCATGTTTTAAACCTTTCACAAAAATTGGTTCTGGCCCCTAAAATTTGTTCCGGTTCCGATTCTTAGACTCGATTTCCTGGGGCCTAATGGACCCAAACTTGGATTACCCAGAACCCGAATAAAGCTAAATTTTAAACCCGAAACTAGAACTAGTTCTATATATTCCAGTTCTAATGGGTCTGGTTGTAGTCCGATTCCGATTGCGGTTTGATATTCCAGTTTTAAATCTCATCCCTAATGACCCCGTGACAATTGTATGGAAGATTAGGATTTTTCCCTTGGAAATTGTATGGAATACTAGGATCTGGTGTAACATCCCCCTCTGTCACGTATCACAATATTGTCCGCTTTGGGCCACTCGGCACGAGGACTTCCCAGGGGGTCACCCATCGTGGTACTACTCCCGCCCGAGCACGCTTAACTGCAGAGTTCTTATGGGATCTGCTGCCCTCACGGCTTTAAAACGCGTTGTGATAGGGAAGGTATCCACACCCCTTATAAGGAATGCTTAGTTCTCCTTCCCAGCCGATGTGGGATCAGATCTAACCCACTTTCACTCCCCTTTATAAGGCTCGACGTCCTCATCGAACACATCGACCCGTGCCCTGGCTTTGATACCATTTGTAACATCCCCCTCTGGCACGTATCACAATATTGTCCGCTTTGGGCCACTCGGCACGAGGACTTCCCAGGGGGTCACCCATCCTAGTACTACTCCCGCCCGAGCAGGCTTAACTACAGAGTTCTTATGGGATCTGCTGCCCTCACGGCTTTAAAACGCGTTGTGATAGGGAAGGTATCCATACCCCTTATAAGGAATGCTTAGTTCTCCTTCCCAGCCGATGTGGGATCAGATCTAACCCACTTTCACCCCCCCCCCCCCCCCCCGCAACGTAAAAGAATATATATATATATATATATATCATGACAGAACATAGAACAACCATGCATATCGGGTTACACTCCAGACCAGACAACGATACACATACCATGTAATCATATAACAGTTCACAGTTAGCAAATCGATCAACAGAGGAAAACCATAGGCTAGCAGGCATCATAAAACAGGCAACATTATCATGAAATCCTGAAGATCCCTATCAGCTCCTCCCCTACTGCTGCTACAGCCACTGTAGCCGCCGCGGCAGCCGTCTCCGTGAGAGCCGCATAGCGCTCATCAAAATACTCAACCATGGCGGTCTTGATCGTACCATTGTGGTTTTTATGTTTTCAGGTTCTCAGGAATCTGTGGCAAGGAAAAGGCGTGATCGTACCGTTCCTCGCGTTGGTGTTTTACGAAATGGACCTGGGAAAAATACTCTGTTAAATAATGTATTGAAAACCTTTTTGTAACAACGTTATTAAAATGGATTGTTTTGAAAAGTTTTAATTGTTTCGAAATCTTGGTCGTTACAAGTTGGTATCAGAGCCTTGGTTTGAGCGAATTGGAGGAACACTCGTG